TCTAATTTTATTCCGAATGCCACAAATATCAATCGTCTTTTATCGTTGACATATTGTTTATCCGTTTTAATAAAGCTTATTATGCAACATTAATGACGATAAACGTGCATTTAGCTATACGTGTCGATCAAGAGAGTGCGGGTACATCTCGCAAATGCATTTTGGCCTTAGCATAATTGCCCGTAAAGGCTCGGCGTAATACGTCGATTACGCCGCCGCATGCCGTGGCTCTACGCCACAGCTACTGACATCGCGCATCAATCGTATCTCTGAATATTCAATTAAGTATCCCTCCTTGCCCCTCTGACCTCCCTGTCTTCTTTCATTTTTCTCCCACCACTCTTTCCCTCCCGAATGCCTCCTTATATTTCGCTCTTCCGCAATCATTCTCCGACTCACATCGATCTGTGATTCGATCATCGGTTGCACAGCAATTCGATGTCGATCGTCATTAAATCGATATCCTCCCGCCCCCCCCCGGAAATAATGTCATTCCGCAGCTCGCAGAATTTCATTGCACAAAAAATGATTATCAAATAATAACTGAGAATAAATGAACGTCACAAATATGCACTGATATAATTGCATTCTAGTTTTGTAAGCATGATGTGTACTTAAACAATATGAATTGCAATGTAAGAAAAGATTTTCTTTTGCTCTTGGCCAAATAAAGCAAAAGTACAGAATGTGATTCGAAGAGAAGTTTCGTTTATTGTTTCGGCGAGTTGATTGATACTTCTCGTGACAGAGTAGCAGTCGCGCAACTTCTCAGGGCGACTGTCGCTGAAGATATGAACCGACAGAGAGACCGGCCATACGGTCCACCTCGGACCTCCTAAGGTCGGATATTAATGAGAGGATATAGAGGCGGCCACCTCACACCACTCCGGATCTCGGCAGCAGACTCACGGATCGTCTCTGATGGAGAGAGGTTACCGAGAGGCCTCCTCCTCCTCCCCCCCTCCCACCACCACCTCGTGAGATGAGAGCCGAAGAGAAGCACCGGCACGGAGGAGGAGGTCGAGGTAGGGAGGACCAGGGAGGGTCTCCACCCTACGACGAGACCGTGGAGGGAGGACGTCGTCGGGTTACGAGAGAAGACGAGAGAAAGATGAAGCAGGAAGAGAGAAAGAGAGAGAGGGATAAGCGAGGGAGGTAAGAGGAAAGGACGAAGAGAGAGGAGCGGAGGGAGCGACTGGGGACGCGGAATGAGAGACAGAGGGAAGGTAAAGAGAGGAGAGAACGTGGAAAGAGAGACGGCAGAGAAGTGGGGGAGGGAGGAAGAGGTGGAGGACGAGGACGAGGACGAGGACGACCAGGAGGAAACGGAGGTCGGGTGGCACGTTGAGAGGGAGGGAGCGAAAAAGGAGCGAGCGAGAAAGAGAGAAAGAGGGACGGAGAGACACAAAGAGAGAGAGAAGACGAGATCTGGACCCCACGTAGGAGACGTTCAATACTGTAGCAACGACGCCGAGGCAGCGCCATTGGCTACCATTTTCTCTCTATACCTTCTAGGCATACACCTTGTACTCTATTCCGGTCTACTCCACTTTATTCCCGCATCGCCTCCGTGCCCTCTCTCTCTCTCTTTCTCTCTCTCTTTGCTTCCCTCCCGTCTTCTCGCTGTGCTCTCGCGCCGTTCGCGAGAACGCATAACCGGACCGGAACAAGAAGCAAAAAAGTTTTTTTCCACCGAATTTGCGAGGGTCAAAGGTGGACCATAAAAGAAGCATTTTTTTCTAGGGGTGTTCTAACAAGACTATCCGTAAAACAGGTTGTATTAGATTGATGAAAAAGTTCATTTTATCTTTAATAAGACAGCCATAGAATAAAAAAAAAACAACGAACTTTTTAATAAATAGACACATCAGAGATAATCGAGCACATAAACTTCTGTTCATTGATTTTATATATTATCTTGATAGGTTCTCGTTTGTAATTCGTTTTTGAGGCTCAATGCGGCTATTATTACTAAATTAATACAATAAAATACGTTAAAGATAAATAAGATATGCTAAAATATCTCAATCTGGCCGGTCTCTCATTTTATCTCGTAATTTTCTACATGTCTATCAAATGTTATTATCTGTTCATTTATGATCAAGATACTCAAACTTTGATATGACGTGCAGTTTGAAGATAACGTGTGAAAGCTATATCAAGATCATTTATTGTTAGTTCCATGTAATAAAACTTTTCTCAATAAACGAACAAACATGTATATATAGTCACTTTCACTTCGCGCTTTCATAATTTCAACGTCTTGCTTTGTTATTGCTGTGTTTGCTATTTGAACGACATGCCAAAATCTCTGAGAAACATCTTAATTCATATCCAAATCTGTATATTTTCATACTTAAATATTGTGCAAATGTGTATTTTATATTTTATATTAATGATATATTATTTTTGCATAATAAAAATTATTTGCATTTTTATACTGCTTCGGATAATGTCTCACTCATTTTATCTCTTCGCCGTTTCCAAATTCATTAAATAAAAATATATATATATAACTTAATTTATCTAAAAAATTTAGATAAATATATTGTAGTTCAATATAAAATATGATCGGCTACAAGAGCTTTTCAAAGTTTGTGTAAAAAATAAAATATCATAAAAAAAGAAATAAGAAAAATCAAACATAAAGCATCTGTAACATGACAGTATTATATAAAATACAAATATACCATAAAGGAAGAAAAATATATCCAGAAAATTATTTCATATTAGCCGCGTCTGTAAAATGCAGCTTTTCGAACGCCGAATATTTTTTCCGCTTTGTCAAATAATTAACGCACGTTACTCACGCGTGAGAAAACAATGTGCGCACCACACTTTGCGAGGTAACGCTATATCTACGTTGATATCCCGCGGGAATGGAAATAGTTGTAATTTTAATTAACCCGATGATTACGCGCCGTGCACTCTCGTCGAGGCCCGTATACACAGTAGGCGGTAATTTGCAGTATATACAGTAGATAAATATACGATCGTTGCACCGCGCCAAACAATGCTTCCGTGGTGGTCTTCTTGAACATATACAGTCATATATTTCAATTTCGAGAGGTAAAATGTGTTGCATCTTCTTCAGAATGCATTGTCTCTCGCTCGCTACGCCGACTTGCATTTGCATATGCATCGCTATGCACGAGATTTCTCTATTCTTTCAAGTAATTACATTTAAATTTAATGTGAAATATGTTATTTAATCAAGTGAACCTATTTCTTCAAAATAATTAGAAACCTGTATTTCTGTCAAAATTTAATTATTATAATAGTCGAACAACGATTACCGCGTTGAATTTGCATTCGCGATTTCTGTATTGTCTATTTTGTTTATTTAATCACGTTTAACAATCGGAAATTATTTATTCTGATATTTATAAAACGCGTTACTCTTTTTAGTATCGATGCGTTTTTCAGTCAAATTGCAACAATTCTTTCGCGAGCGTCATGACGTACTCCGAATACCGCGAAGCAATCAGGCAAATTAGCGTAATTCACATATAAAACCTACTCTCTATCCCTCTCGATCGTTTAACGACGCGTCTCGTCATTCCCGTGGCTCTCACAGCCTTTCGGAGTTTTCTACAAGTCTTAACGGCACGGATCTCGTTACGCGACTCGATAATTGCCGTAATCTCGGGGAGCGCCCTTTCGTTATTCCAGCCATATGCGGACTGGTACAGCCCGGAGGTACGAAAGTCCGAACTACCGATTGTAAAACTTCCCGAATAGCGTTACTTTTTTTCCTCGGTTCCCCCTGCAAGCGGAATCGCGAGGAAATCGTTCTCAAGGTGCTCCAAAAACGGATACCATCGCGAACGATAGTCGACGCAGCTGGCAGCAGCGCCTATCCAATTGTCAATTTGAGGCGGTCTTGCGAAAATACTACGGTAAATGCCGATAAACACTGCAAATTGCTCAAAATTATCTGGCACTTACGACAATATTTCTTTGTAATAAAAGACAAGCTTCTGAATATAAATATCGCAGATAAATCGTTTTTACGATCTGACGATAAAAAGAAGGTACTTCTTTTTATCAATATAAAATATATTTTATTTAGTAACCGTTAATTTGCGCAACAAGAATCTTATCAGAAATAATATTGATATTTATTAAAAGTCAACGTACGTTATTTTTTCATATCGTTTCCAATGTGCAGACATATAGTATCCAATGATCGTTGTCACAGTCAAAAAATAAAAGTAATTGATATTATAATTGCATCAATTACATTTACAAAAAAATGCGCAGTTTTTCAAAACTCAAGCGAGCAGAAATTGTTCTAGAATAGTTATATGATTCTAATCAGAAAGAAAACAATGCATAGATCTGTCCTTTTTACACACGTGTTTTCTAAACTTGTTACAATTTTCTCATTTTATAACACAGCGCAACTAGTTACAAAAACAGAGTTTTCATATCACATCTAGTAAAGGCACAAAAGTAGTTATCGTAACTGTTAACCTACATAATCATCTGGCAGTTATCACGCAAGTCAATAAAGACTTGCTCTTTTACGAAAAAGACGACTTCCATATAATACATGAAGTTTAATATGTTAAAATGCTGAAAATGGTATTATCTTATCTTCTTAACGCCGATTGCAAGTTCATAAATACAACATAATAACTTTCTTACAAGTAATTTTTCGACGATAATCTTTTCTAAAAAAGTGAAACTCAGTCAGTGAAAAATATTTAATTTGACGTACAAATGGATTGAATAGTCATTTGAATAAAATCTTATGTTTACCTGTAACTTTATATTTTATATTTAACATTATATACCTTAAATGTTTATATACCTAAAATATTATAAACTCATATTGTTATTTTTAAATGTTAATCTTTATGCTATTAATGTACTCTGTAATAAAATGATCACGTAATGTGCAAATTATGAGACTGCAATGATAATCAGAATAATTCGTTAAAACTTTGTACATATAAATGCATTAAGTCGTTGCAAATTAAATATTGAATAATACCTTTTCAAGTTAAATAACAAAAAAATTTATTTCAAAAATAATGCTTTCCTTTTCTGAACATTTTTTCTGCGCTACTCTCATTCAGATTATAGATGGCTGTAATATAATTATAGCTATAGGATTTGTTGATAAAGTCTCTTCCTCATAAAGTGTGTTTTCCATCATTGTAATTCATCGCGCGAATATTACTACTAATTAGTTGATTTCTTTTTTCATTCCGTTTTATCTTTATCAATACTTTCAATGAATATAATATCATCGGAATCAATATTCATCTTTTCGCTGCTCGATGGCTCCTCTTTCTTCTTATTAAGACTGACAAATTTCGCTAATATGCTCTCTCGAGACTTTTCTGGAAATTGTTCCCCCCTGCCTACGGAAATTAGAGTCGCGCGTTTAGGTGGCCTTTGTACTGGAGGTTTCGACGAGGTGGAAACCTGGTCGACTTTCAGAGACAGCTGTTTCTTCGTCTCTTCCTGATCAGATTTCGTTAATTGTTTCTTCATCTCTTCCTGTGTAATTTTTTTAGTAAATTGAGTAATAAGTGGTACATGCTTCTTTTCTTTTTCCTTCTCTTTCTCTTCTTTCTCTATCTTGTCAACTGTAATGTCTTGCGTATCACTCTTCCGATTCGGTGTTAAAGTATACTTCCAACGATTCGGCAACGACAACGCATCGTCTGGAAGATATTGCTTGCGATTGTCTTCGGAGACGTACCAGCAGGATTTCAGGTGCATTGGTCCCTCTTCAGGACAAGCTACTTTGTTAGCGATTTCGTTGATCTTCTCCAATACACTAACCTTCGAGAGTTGTTTTTCACTCTTTTTGCTCCAGAATGTCATAAATTCTTTTGTAAGAAAGTGTCTGCCGTACGTATTCCCATGCAATAATCGGATAAGATCGGGCAAAGCTTCATTGGGGAACTTCGTCTTCCTTGGACCTCTCACGGATTGTGGTGTCTGTGCTTTGCATTCTGCGCTGAGCGAAGTATCATCTTCCGTAAAAGTCGATGACGGGAGTATTATCGGTATGTTGTTGACCCAAGCTTGCCGTGCCGACAGAAACTCTTTGACTTTCGTAGAAACTAAAATAATTTTTTTTATTTTAGATTTATAATTAATACTATTTGAGAGTTGTATACTGAACACATATATGTACAAAAAAAAAAGATAAATGATAAATGAGATAATAATGTTAATGCTTACTTATGATAATAATATACTTACTAGACTCAGGAAATAAATTCTTGCGTTCTTGCCAAATGCATCCAATTATTTTCGGCTTAAGTTTATAAGTCTTCGCATTTCTTTCAGCTTCGAATTGTTCACCCAATATTTTCAATTTCATCTTCTGTGTTTGCGGTGACTAAAATAAAAATAAATATTTTATTCTCATTTGTTTCACAATAAAATTTTTGTACGTAACTTCTCAACTTCATTACTATACTAATATAATTACCATATCCTCCATCTCTTCCTCACCAGCTTGTGCTTCCTCGTCAGACAAATATCTAAATTACAAAACATTTTTTTTTTTGGAAAAGTGCAGGTGTTCAATGAATAAAATATACAAACTTTGCAATATTAAATATTTATTTCTTTAGCTTTAAAATTGCATTTCGGCTGTACAGTTGTCGGCCAGGAATAATGAAATTAATTGCTTTGATTCAGAGTTAATTTTCTGATAGTGAAATGGATGCAATCAAACTCTTTCTAAGATTGCATTGTTCACTTTTCTCACATAAAACAGTGTTGTTTTAATAAATAAATTAAATTAAAGAAAACATTAAAATAAAAAATTGTTTTAAATAAAATTATTTTCTATGGAAAAAACTTTAACACATAAAAACTATTAAAAAATTATTACTTACCCGTGAGGGACCATAAATTCATTATCAACATCGTATTCATTCTCTTCCGGATTTTCTTCATCCTTTTCGTCGTCGGATCCTTTAAGGGACTCACCAGGTTCTTCTTCTTCCCATTCATCGTCAGAATCAATTTCGTAATCGAACCATTTCTGTAAAGTAAAATATATATATATGTATATAAATCATTTTAATCTGCCCTCCAAATTTTTTTTCGATCTTTTTTGTGAATCGTCCCTGTGAGATAAACATTTTATTTTTAAAAATCGGCAGTTCTATCAATAGTTCTATGTGCACATGCAGTAACTCTACAATTTACAAAATTACAAAAATATATCGTCATAATTGGAACTATATAAAATCTCGGTAAGAATATCGAGAACTAGTAAAAAACAACAGAAATAGCTAGCGTTTAACGGCATAGGATAAGATTAAAAATTGCGGTGAGATTAGAAATTTGCTTAATTCTCACAAACAATGATGATAAAAAAAATATTATTCTACATCTTTGATTTATATATTACATAATATCATCTCTTTCCTTTATATCATATGATTATCTTTTTCCTTTCTGATTATATCATAAATTATTCCGTTTCAATAAATAGAAAGAGATGCATCGATAGATTTCAGAACCCATATGCTTTGACATAAATGCTTTTCGCAAATATATTTCAATATTTGATTTATTACAATAATCAGCAATCACGATATCGTCCCATTGCAGTTTTTCATCATTGTCCTCGACTTTATTTTAATTTTGTTCGCGACGAACGTAATCCTATCTGAAATGAAGCAGGACGTCGCTATCAAGCAACTTCCTTGACGGTGATATCTCGGTTCTAACCATCTCCAATGTGAGGTCCACGCGTATTCTTGTTTCTCTTTGTCACGAAGTTAGATGTGAAACATGTTAACAAAATGTGGATTTTATTTTCTCAAATTTTTCATTTCTATAGTGACTTTGGTAAAGTGCCTTTGGTCTCAATAAAGTGTTTAATAAACGTACCTAATTATTTTTACGCTGATCAGATATAAAAAACTAAAAATAACTTGTCGCAAAAATAAATTGTGATGAATGAAGTCGATCTTTCACTGAAACATCGATTCTTGAAAAGTGTAATGTGTTGTCATCGAAAAATATAAAATTCCGATAAGTATATTTTCGTTTTCTAAACGGAAATACATAATATACTGTGTTATGTCTTATTATTCGCGTGCAACATGGTAGCTTTGTTAAGTAGCTATTTTCATCTCCGCGACGCGGCATCCTCGAGTAGCTTGTTGAGTAGCTATTTTATGACACTTTTTATTTTTACGTATTTGCAATATGTGATTTCGGGTTAAGACGGGATAAATCGAGTGTGCCGATGACGATAACATCTTATTGCGAACGCACTACTTCTTTGATGTGATAATAATCGTGCACGACTAAGGAAATACGATAATTCTGGAATATAATTGAAATCAATTAGTTTGAAACAGCAATAAAACGCGTCGCGGAAGTGTGCCCCCTCGCCAAAAAGTCGATAAATTCTCCCTCCCTCTTTTCTCTTTGCGCCGCGGCGCGAGATATTCTTTGTTCGATAAATCAACGTCGATTTCATCCCTACGTGAGCATCAATTACAAGACTCTTCTCGAGACATTAATTTATTATCGAGGAGAAACGTAATCTTCACGGGCGATTGATACACTCGTCGCTGAGGCGAGTAACACAAAAACAATCGCCGGCTCTTCGCTAATAAACAAAAAAAAGGAAAAGGAACGTACGTTCAAGCAGCTTTTGGCAGCAATACCAAGGTACGTATGAGACGTCTCGCGAAGCGCGTAATTTATTATCAGAAGTACAAGGTGTTCCAGATCTCAAGCGTGCTTGTTTTTAACTGCGAACTCTTTGATCATTTTTTATGCGGAAATATTGGAACGCCGATAATTCCCAGATTATAAAAAATTTTAAATAATGTTATTTCAAGTAAAATTTTAAGAAAATCTTAATTTGATATCTCATTATTGCTATCTAACGTTGAAAATTAAAAACAGAATACGAAAAAAATAGTGTCTTATCAAATTTTAGATAAAAAAAAGTAACACAAATTTAATAAAAAATGTAATTGAAAAATGTACAGTTGAAAGGCAAATGTATATAGTTGATTTAGAACGCTTTATTATATTCAACGCCTGCTTCCGTCAAAAATAAACAAATAAACTGCAAAAGTGTAAAACATTTTTCATGAAAATAATCAGAGTAATTGATCAGAATAAATGACTGAGATGAGCGCAGCAAGGCAATATTTTCCAAGTATTTTCCAAGGATTCTTCTTTCAAATTTATAGTCATTATTTTCTAATTGATATAATGATTAATGGCTTGTCATCATGTTTCAATGATTTCGCAATTAGCAATTATCGCAATCACCGTAATTGATTCGGTGTCAGAGTTTACTGATTAGAAAGGCGCGAAGAATCCAAAACAGACATCCTGCATGATCAGGGGCTGCGCCAAGGTATCGTCAAGGCACGCATGCACAAAACTGAAAGGATGCAACATGCCTAAGAAGAAAAGCGCAGTTATCGGCCTGGGGGCGCCATGGATGCGCTTAACGTTGCACCGATGCATGCCGCGAAGCATGCATACATTATTTATTGCGTGTTGTCGCCCCGCCGGGCCATCTGTAATGGCTGTTTTATGCCCCATTAAGATTACGACCGGTGCTTCTCGTCCTGTACACCGTAGATTAGGCGGCCCGGCAATCGAATTGATTTATTTCCCAAATATGCGGCTAGACCTGCACTTCGTTACCGGGTTAGCGTGACGACGCGACCGCTCCGCATGGAAATTGGAGACTGCCGCTCCTCGTGAACCGTCATCGCCGTAAAACGTGATTAGCCCCATAATTCGACTATGGAATCCGAATATGTAGTCAGTCAAAAGTAAACTCTTACAAAATTGCATCTTAATAAAAAAAATAATTTTAAAGATTGTTGAGGTATTGCTTTGAAATTAATTATTCAACTGCCATAATTTGGAAATTATCTAAAATTATTTTAACAATCTATATATGAATATTCTAATATTGTATCAGCTTCAGCTCTTCCAATCTAATTTAATATATTAATTATATATATTAAATAATATTTATTAAATATAGATATACAAATAATTATAAATCAATTCCACACAAAAATAAGAGATGAAAAAACGAGTTATACGCGTTATTATTAATGTAAGGAAAATTGACATTAAACAACATGTTACATCACGTTTTCTATTAAATATATCAATCCATAATTAATAAGCGTGATTGAGTTTTTATTTTTTCAAATAGCACGCGCACTACAGCGTTTCAGGCTGTGATCAGGCTCAGGCTTCATAGTGATGCAGGTTCTAAAATGCGTCACAAGATAAATACGCATATTATCTGCCAACGCATAAATTTCGCGCGAAACGGACTATCAACAACTAACTGCGACTGATAAGTTAATTAAAAAAAAAAAAAAAATATATATATATATATGTTAAGAAATATGGCCATTTTTAAACATACATTTATACCAGCTGCGGTTTAAGATAAGTAACACAATTCTTTCCGAGATTATGTAAATTTTTGTACATAAAACCAACTTAAATTTATCAAAGCTTACAAAAAATTTTAATCATAAATCCAATAATTTAATTAAACAAAGAAAAATAATTAACTAAGGCAATTTTCGAGGATTAATATAAACAAAAAAAAGGATTACATTAATTAAAAAAAAATAAATATAGATAGAAATTTAAAAGAAAAAAATAACTATGTATTTTAAATTAAATTCGATTCCCCATGTTCAAATAAAATTGAATCAAATTGAAACAAAATCTTGCGACGTGATATACGGCTGCTAATGAAAATTGATACTTGATATATCGCGCATATATAAGTACTGAAAGGGTTAAAGCAGCATACGTAAATTACGAAAGCGCGGTGTTCATAGAATATTACGTATACAAACGTCAGTGTGCGATATCACTCTTGGACGCGATAAAACACGAAATCAATCCGATACTCGCACGTGCCAGCGGAATAGATATTAATATAATTAATATAATTGTGAATATATCTCTGGCCCTCCAGAATATCTCTGTTCTTTTCTCATTAATATTTTTAGCCAATCGTACTTTCTTCTATATCTTCAATATATATAAGGTATAATAATACATGTTGTACTGTTATATTATTACAGATATATCTAATTATTTTCCTCTTCACATACTTGATATTATGCAATGTTAGATATTTTTATATATCCTTTAATAAAGATATAAAGCACGCTGTCACTTTGAGCATTGCTGACTCATCTTTAGCTAATTATACTTGCTTTCAAAATCACAAAACGTTATACAAAAGAATATTTTAAAAACTTTCAAAAAGTATTTTAATCCTTCGGACATGCTTTATGTTTAAATATTGTTTTTGGCCTTTTCTTACCAGTAATTTAATTTACTATTACAAAAACATTTTAAAATTATAATATAATAGTAAAAATTTTGTAAAATAGATCAGAAATCGAGAGTAAAATAATTTTCTTCTTTTTTTGTTTCCTTCTGATTTCATTCTCGAAACACGCGAGTGCAACGGATTCGAGTACTCGCGAAGATATATCGGATCGCTCACGTCCGCCAGATAATAAAATAAATCTGCCAGATAAAAACGGACCATCGATGGATCACTGTGTCGTCGCTAGGTTGCGGTCTGTTTTTCATAACGCGCCGTAAACTGCGATAACTATACCTTGTAGCGCCACTTCCCAATCTAGAATCGAAATTCGGCTCTACGCCGAACAGAAGAAAGCGGAATCTAGCGCAAATATAAACGACACGAATTAAGTAAATTTATAAGTGCAAATGTCTCCATTCTACGAACTCTCTGACGTATTTTACATTTATATATTGTTATTATACAATATATTACGACATCGAATTAATTATGTTCGTGAACCTAGCATATCATTTTCCAGCAGATCAAAAATAAAAGAGAGTTCTTGTCGCATGCAGTCGAGTTCTATAGTTCCTTATAGTTTTTAGTAATAGTTCTGGTGATTTTATAAAAAAAAACACCGATCGAAAAAAATGATCTGCTACGGAAAGTTAGCAGATAAAAAATAGAGGACACTGAACATATATGTGATATGCTGGCCGTATATTGATAGTTCTGTTGATAATTAAAGAGTTTTCGTGTAGTTCTGAGCCAGTACATTGCTTTTCCAAAGAGTTCTGACGACTAAAATAATTAGAAAATTTTTTAACAATTATTTTACCCGAAAAACACGCATTTTTGTACATATATGTGATATGCTGGCCGCATATTGATAGTTCTGCTAAAAATTAAACAGTTCTCTTCTAGTTCTGGGCGAG